TTTTATCAGTTAGGGGAATATAGTCACATATTCAGAACTTATGACTTGGAGGATATAGCATATCGAATTTATCTGAACAAGCCACTTCAATACCCATTTTCAATACTTGGGTGATGAAAAATATTTAATTTTTAAAAAGTTGTATCTTATACACCCTGTACATAGGTTAAATATGCCAGAGGGTGCAGTCTGAGAGTTGGCAGAACTAGTCTCGCTACTGTCCTTGCTACTAACTACATTTCTGCAACCTGATGAGTTCTTTCTTTTGGGTGCAAAATTCTTAACCTCTTTCAATGTACCTCCTTCAGCTGCATTCCTTGGGGATGAAGTAAAATTATTAGAACTCCGAAACAGTCTATGATTTAAAAAATGTTTTTACAGAAGACTGCTCTATGAAAATGCTGATGCTAGCATTATTCATAGAGGGTTGGTTGTGGAAGTTACCTAGGGAACCATGTACACGGAGAATGGATAAGTAATTTGGATAGCATGATTACCATGGGCTATCAATCAGCTATTACAAACACTAAACTAGATGTACCTATTGCGGTGTGAATCGATCTTAAAAATATAGTATATAGTAAAAATAATATATAGGAGCAATCACTTCTACAGAATAATGCCAGTTACATAAATTATAAACATTTATTTTTAACACAAAAAACAGTATGTGTTTTACAGAGGTAAGTGGATATTTATTTATTTTTTTAATTTAATTTTTTTTTAAAGATTTATTTATTTATTTGACAGAGAGAGACACAGCGAGAGCGGAAACACAAGCAGGGGGAGTGGGGGAGGGAGAAGCAGGCTTCCCGCCAAGCAGGGAGCCTGACGCGGGGCTCAATCCCAGCACCCTGAGATTGTGACCCGAGCCGAAGGCAGATGCTTAACGACTGAGCCACCCAGGTGCCCCACAAAGGTGAATGGATATTTATAAAGTGGATTATAAGTGGATATTACAAAGATAAGTGGATACTTAACGTTAAATATATCAGGTTTCCCAGTCCAGGCTGATATTGGGCATGGTGATGAAGAAGGAAAGGGTGTGATGGTAGAGAGAAGAGCCTTGCACGGACCAGTGATTCTAGGGTGCTACAGAATAAACTCGATCCTGAGCACACACACAATTCAGTAATAGTCACTTGCTCAAGGAAGATCAGGGGCTTGAAGAATCAACGCCAAAAATATTGACTGAGAACAATATGAAACATAAATTTCAACTAACGAACATAGGCAGTATAAACCTTCTCATATAAATTCAAAATTACTGATAAAATTAGGAAAGGAAACAGCCAGAATTTATATATTAGATTCAGGTCCTCAATTCACATGTGTGAATGTGGGTCAAATTTGGGTCTTGAAAAAAACTTACAGCACATCCACATGTGATAATAATGAAAGGTTAAATATTCTCAGCATTGGACACTCACCAACTTCATTGTTTCTGTCGTTTTTCCTTCTTTCAGCCAGATTATTTTTGGCTCTACTTTCTCTGGCTTGCTTTTATGGCCAGTTCTGGGCTTCCTCTTCCTTTGGCTGCTGTCTTGGCATGAATATTATTGATATTTCTTTTAAAGAAGTAAATAGTTCTTGCTTTGGCCACACACAATGTAAACTCTTTCCCTTTCCCTCCACCCCCCTCTCTCTGGCACACACACACACACACACACACAGAGCTACCCTAAGACTTTGAATAAAGCCAACTCTACAATTAGTGGCTTAAGAGTGATATTTAATACCAGGGTAAAAGAGGTGGTATATATATAATAATATGAACAAAAGCGTTCCAGAGAATTCTGAGAAGTTATTTGTTCCACAAAGAAAGAGATAACCAGGGATCAAAATTTCTTATTCTTTATCATATTCTCCATTCCCATAGTCCGAAGCTAAGTATTTAAATAATATTACTATACATGATAGGTTTAATATTTTACCTCAAGTTTTTATTTTGAAAGGCAAAATACTATTATTACAATGCTATGATATTAGTAATAGTAGTATATGACTTCGGAAGAAAAATATCTTACACTGAATTTTTCACTTCTTGGCTTTATTGCCCAGGATATGTGGATTGTCTCCTCTATATTTGTTGCCAGCAGTCATCATGAATAGTGAAGAGTAGTTAGGAAGCTTGCTGTACAACGTGGCAGGTGCAACACTGTGGTGTGGTGGTTGAGTGAATGGGCCCCGGGGGCTAGGCTGCCTGGATTGAATCCTGATTCTGCCGATAATGGATTGTATGGCCTTGGGCGAGTTGTTCAACTTCTTCGTACTTTAGAGGGTTATTATAAAACTTCAGTGAGGTAATATTTGCAGAGCACTTAAAATAGTACTTGTCACATAGTAGGAAGTAAATGACCTCGGACTGCGGTGGTTCTTATTTTAAGTCATGTTGGCATTTTATCGTTTCTCTGCCTCCTCTCTTTCTGTTGGTTGCCAGTTGAGTCCATTTCTAGTACCTATTCTCACTTTCTTATTAAGCGGATGTTGCTAATCTGTGGTGGCCTGGGAAATGACGATATCAACTTATTAGAATTTTGTCTAAAATTAAGTTGGATAGTTTAAAGATCTTTCTTATGAATCATGCATATGATCTTTAGTTCTTGGATGAGGAGACATCTACCTAACTTGCTCAGAAATGGCCCTTTTTCCCCCTCTTCCAAACACCAATTATGTTCTGAGTAATTGAGTTCAATTGCTAACTGTTCTCTAGTTAGCAGGGTTTATCATACTCCCTTTTATTTGATAAAATATACTCTGCATTGAGTATCACAGTTCCTTACCCTTTCCTCTCATTTATACATAAGCTTCTATATCCCGCAGTCATTCTGGGACAGCAAAGAATGTGCTGGCCTCTGGGAAAAGGAATGGATATCATGGAAGGTGATGGTTACATCAATCTCTCTCAGAGAACGGCCATAACTCTCTGTGAGCTTCTGGACCCACGAGATTTTCTTAAAGGTTGTTTTTTTTTTTTTTTTTTAACCTAACCTGTGTCTTCCCTACATGAGTGTAGGTGCGTAATTCCAATTAGGATGTATGAAACAAGACAAAACTGTTGAAAACTCATGTAAGTCATCACTAGACTGACTCTCCACTTCCTTCCACTTTCCACCTTAAAATGCGAACAACCCAAAACCAAACAAACCATTCTTTTGGGATTATTCTTCTTGGCTTTGTAGTGAATGGAAAGAATGAATTTAAGAGCAATCTTGAAGGCTGCCAAGAAGACCTTATTTTAAGTCATGGTCATAAAATTTTTGAGTTAGAAGGATCCATAAAAAAATTTAGCTCAATTTCTGGATTTTTCAGATGAGGAAACTGAGACCAGGAAAAGTTGAATGACCTGACAAAAATTACTAGGTCAGAACCTGACATTTTAAATGCTCGTGAAGCTATAATTTCTTGGCCATGATACCTACTATGGGCCCTAAAATATATTGTAAATTTTATCAGCTGGGTGTATCTCAGTTGCAAGTGATTAAAAAAAAAAAACAAAACCCAAAAAATCCAAAAACCTAGCCTAAACTAATTTAAGAAAAAGAGGAAAAATTGTTGGCTCATGTAATAAAGTATCTAGGGGGAAGTTTGGCTTAAAGCATCCCACAATCCGGCAGCTCAAATAGTGTCAACAGAACCCATTTCCTCTGTTGTTCTCTGACAGATCCCTCTTCCATATGTGAAAGATGGTGGCAACAGCTCCAGACTCAGTATCCTCTCAGATTCTATCCTCTCAAGTTCAATAGGAAAGAGCCAGGAGCTCCAGAATAGACTCCTATCATCCTATTGGCTCTGATGGGCACTATGTGGCATGTCCACAGAGACCAGGAGAAATGTGATACATTGATTGTGATGAGGGAACAGAAGACAAGCTGAGGACAAAGCAGAAGCTGACACCCCCCCCCCCCCCCCCCCCCCCCGCCATGGGATATATGTTACATTCCTCAGGCACTTCTGGCTGCCCTAAAGGAAAAACTAACTTATAGAGTTTCCCTCAGTTTACAAATATCTTAGCAATTTACAAGAACAAAGCATTCTATCATCAATAGCCTAGCTTCCAGAAGGAAATGTAGATACAATTAAATGTCTTTATAACCTGCAGCCCATCAACAGATACTTGAAGTGGGCAGAATGTTATGTTCCTCCAGGAAGTTCCCAACTATCTTAATGTTAATGCCTTACTAGAGCGGTAAACAACCTTAACTTGACAATGGTAAGGCCGTGGGTATCCTGTGAGTCTTCTTTAGCATATGAAAGTTCTTTCTGAAACCTCCCTTTTTCCTTAGCTCCCCCAACCCCGAAGTATATAATCAGCCACCGCTCACAACCCCAGGGCAGCAGCTCTTTCTTTCTGTCCATAGGTCCTGTCCCCGTGCTTTAATAAAATCACCATTTTGCACCAAAGACGTCTCAAGAATCCTTTCTTAGTCGTTGGCTCCGGACTCCACCCCATTGAACCTCACCTAAATCCCAAAACCCCATCAACTGGCTTAGGTTTGTGTCCGCTCAGTGAGAATCAGTACACGAATTATCTGAATGAGTTAATATATACATGTTATTTATTGTTTTCTAACAAACAATTATATAGCCCCTTTCTGCCAGCTCGTTCTAAGGATTTTACAAATACCAACCCACTTAACCATCTTAACAACCCAAGGAGATAGGTACTGTTACTGTCCCCATTTCAGAAATGAGAAAACCAAGTCACAGAGAGGTTAAGAAATGTGCCCAAGTTTATGTAGCTTATAATCTGCGGAGTAGGCACAATTCCATATGAGGCAGTCCTGCTCTTGAATACCTGTTTTCCCACTGCGTGCACTGAGTAATTGAATTCTTCCACTGTATCTAGCACAGCCATCTTTTAAAAAATTTTTGTTTTTATTTTTTTGTGAGAGAGAGAGAAAGCACGTGAGCGGGGGGGAGGGGCAGAGGGAGAGGAGAGAAAGAATCCTAAGTAGGCTCCACGCTCAGCTCAGCGAAGAGCCCCACTCAGGCCTCGATCTCATGACCCTGAGATCGTGACCTGAGCCGAAACCAAGTCAGACGCTTAACCGGCTGAGTCACCCAGGTGCCCCTCTTGTACAGCCACCTTCTTAACTGCAAGAGTGTACGAGGCGGAGCCTATGATTTTTCTTCCTTATCGTTATGGGGAGACTGATGAGCAGAAGGGTGAGTGGTGTACAGAAGGTGCGCTGGCAGGGCTGGGGGCAAGGGGCAGATCGAGCTCTGTAGGTAACAGCTAGTTCTCAGTGTTCTGGGCTTCCTTTTCAAACAGTCTTTTGGGCTCTTGTAGAATGAGTTCACATGCATACTACATTTGCTAATTCTGGGAACTGAGAAGATCTGCCAATAAGCTTCTTGGAGATGGATGACTTTTTAAATGTCAAATGCAACATTGAGCCGTTAAATTGTGCTGTTTAAAATGTCAGGAAAAACCATTATTTTTGCAGACAGGGCTTCAGTGTGGTCTGATTTCAAGTCTGTGGAATGACTCCTGTCTTTGAGAAGAATCCTTCTTTTCTTATTTTGAAATGCTGCTATTGTTTTGTCCAGGGAAGAGTGGTCCGAGAGGCATTTCTGGCCACTGAGTCCAAGCTAGCACGGGCAAGTAGTTGAAGTTCCCACCCCGGACTAGCCTCATCCTCGCAGGAACTCGGCCAATAGCTAGCCACCGGCCTGCCCTCTTCCCATCTTCCCCCTGTACTAAAACCTCCTCCCCCCCCGCACCCCAATACAGAGCTCTGGGTGAGGTTTCCTCTAGAATCCATTCCAGTTCTGTTGTTTTCAGCCATTTTTCTGCAGAGCATAGTGGGGACTAGTAGAGTAGACTTTATTACTCCCAAGAAGAATCCAGTTGAACGCTTTAGAGCACAGCAGTCCCCATGGGCAAGTGCCAAGTAATGACCGCTCCCTGTGGAGAGTTAGAGCCTGGAAGCTTTGGGTCTCTTTCTCCACACGTGTCATTTTCATCCAGGTCTTGTCACATGATTAGGAGCCTGAATTAAATCGCCAGAAAGTAATCTGGAGTTTGAGTGATATGGGTGGAAGTGGGTGAGAGAGAGGGCAACTACCTCCCCGAGTTGTGGGAGAGCTGGGAGAGGGAGGGATGCAGCCCCCTCTGTAATCTGTGGCCCTGAGGTCTTCTGAAGCACTGTTTTAGCACAGTCAGCCCCTCCTCCTCTGGCTTCCTCCTTCATTGTGACACAGCTTGATCATCTCAAATTGTTAGGCTGAAGGAGATGACTCCCAACCGGTCTCCGTATCTGAAATTATATGGTAAGAACTACCACATAATTTATGAGAAACCCAATTAATTTGGTGTGCGTTGCGGGGGGAGGGGAACCTCTGTCCTGCTAGTGTAGGAGACTGCCATCTTGTGTCTACCACGACTCAGTATGAATATACGATTTTCCGTGTTCTATATTGTCCCATTTATGAAGCCCTTTAAAGAGGGTGAGCAATGCGTGTGGAAAGGCCCAGCTTACAGCCTTAACTCTAGAACCATCTAGCTGGTTCATATCGAACAAAGAGAAGTTTTTTCTGATCCTTTTTTTTTCTCTTGTGAAATGAGGAAATAAACTAGATTATTTTTAAGATGTGCTTCCTACTTGAAGAGTCAAATCTGTATTTCTGAAGTCAGAGTTTTAAAAAATATTAATGATTGTTTTTTTATCTCCACAGTGTTGGAAACGTAAATGAATATTTGTCCCTGTGTAACAAACAGATAAGGGAACTGAGACACAGAGACATTTATAGCCCATCGAACATCAGACCCTGAGTCCTTCAGAGAGCTTCTGTTCCCTCGTGTGATCCTTTGTCTGTGAGTCACTGACCTACATCACACAGGCCGTGCTGGCTCTCCCACTCTGGGACTAACATGGTAAAGTCAGTGGGGACGAACAGCTTGGTTCCCAGATCACTCAGCTGGGAGATGATATTTAGAATGATGGCTTAAAAACAATTCTGACCAAGCAAAGCATTAGTCAGCTTGGGAAAACTTTATGGCTTGGGAGGAACTTCTCAGGGAGGGAGAGGTAACAGTACATTCTATTCATCCCAGGAGGATCATTTGCCATAAGTCAGTCAGGGAAGAATTTGTTTTGGACCCACACAGAGAGAAGGGAAGCAGTGAAAGAAAGCAAGCCTGACTGGAAGTTCGAAGGCTTAATTTGCTTCTAGTCTGACTCTGCCAAACACTTACCACAAGACAAAATACATACCCTTTCTGACCTTGACTTTTCCAATCTATAGAATGGGAGGATAAAACTAAATGGTCCCTAAACTTCTCTGAACTCTGACGCCCATTTCTGCGTCACAGCTGTCATTTGGAGGCTTCTTAATGTGCGAAACAAATCTTACAGGAGTCAGAAGTACCTCTCTCCCTATGATCTCCTGCCCTGGCTCTGTGTTCTCTCTAGCTTATGAACACCTTCCTATGAGTCTCCTCATCACAGCCTGATTTTTATTATTGCGAGTGATTCCCCTCTCTTCCGTGGTGGGCTCTTGGTGAACAAGCCATTCATTTTGGGTCACATTTCATTGCAAGTTATTCATTTCAGGGTCACCTTAGCACATAGTGAATGCTGCCTTGCCTTTTGTTTGCTAGGATTGCATATCCAGGAAATTACAAGTCTATGATCGCTCCATATTTCAAGTATTACTATTTCTTAGATTTCGAATGCTAAGTATTTAATAATCTCTTGTGCAACCTTCGTGGTATGCTACTGATATGCAGAGATCGAACTCCTTTATTTCAGTGAACAGTTAGTGGTGGACAATTACTTATTTTCTCAATCAAGGGGAGAGCAACTTATACATGCAAATGATTGCATGTACATATGATTTTCTATATACATACACATTTTCTCCTGGCCAGTATGTATTCTGTTGGCTTAAATAACTGAACAATTTTTACATTTGTTTTTAATTTTTATGCTATACCTCTGGTTACAACTATCTCCTAGTTCTTCCTACTATTTGCTTATTATGAAGCCCTTCGATGAACTTTAAAGCTGAAAAGGTCCATCTCTGATGCAACCCTTTCTTTTACAGTTCAGAAAACTGAGGCCCAGGGACGCCTGGGTGGCTCAATCGGTTAAGTGTCTTTCTTCGGCTCAGGTCATGATCCCAGGGTCCTGGAATCGAGTCCCGCATCAGGCTCCTTGCTCAGTGAGGAGCTTGCTTCTCCCTCTCCCGCTGCTGCTGCTTCCCCCTGCTTGTGCTCTCTCTCTGACAAATAAATAAATAAAATTAAAAAAAACCCTGAGGCTCAGAGAGGCTTAACGTGTCCCTGCTGGTCACAGCCAAGGGAGAACTAGAACAGATCCGTCTTGCTTTCCAGCCCAATGATTGCGTCTCTGCTCTAGCACGGTAATATTTATAGTCATAACATAGCACACATATATGTTTATAAAATATAAACAAAGAAATATTTATGTTTTGCCCACATTCTGTTACAGAAAGGTAGAGAAATTCAGATATAAATTTCCCGCTTGGATGTCTCAGAAATGTGCATCTTCAGGAATATTATTCATTGGTTGAAGAAAATATTGCTAGGTAAGTAGAAGATATGTATCTTGTTTCTTTAGAAGCCCAGTTCACACTGTGCCAAGGGGATAGAGTACAAGTGCTGGTTAATAATTTATAGTACGCATTCATCTCCATTCCTCTTTGACTAAAATATTAATCTTCCATTGATCATCATCATTTGCTTTTTGCCTTGGCAATATACAGTGTGCAGAGAGTTTGATGAAAGGGTGATTTCCTAGACTCATCATAGCCGCCCGTGCTCTGCCAGTAATTTACTGACTTTATTTACTTGTGGTAATGAGCACACCATGGAGAGGATACCAGCTGCTGGGATTGTCTTGGGTGCCTTTTTTCTAGGGCAGGACAATGTAAAAAGCACAGCTGTTTTTCTAATTTAGTATTTGCAGCATGTGCCTGCGTTTTTATTACATTTTTAGTGGAAAAAAAACCGCAGGTGAATATAGAATATAAAAAATCTGAGCCTGGTTTCTATTAATAAAGTGAATTTGTTTAAAAGTATCTCGAGAAAGGTGGGGGGTGGTTTGTGTATATATTCTAAAAAATAATAGCCAGGCTTTGGAAGGTAGGACATAAAAGATTTGGTTTAGTGACTTAGGATTATATAATTGTTTAATGGGTATAATTTTTAAATATGTGGCGATATTTTATATGTGCACGTGTTTTCCATGTGTGTACAATTTGTATAATTGCTCATGAATTGTAGGCTGAGATAAAAGAAATTTAGTATGTAAACCATCCTTTGCTATATATATGTGTTTATTTTTTATTTTTTGAAGATTTTATATATTTATTTGAGAGAGAGAGAGAGCACGAGCAGGGGGAAGGGCAGAGGGAGAAGCAGGCTTCCCGCAGAGCAGGGAACCTGATGCGGGGCTCCGTCCCAGGACCCTGGGATCATGACCTGAGCCGAAGGCAGACGCCTAACCGACTGAGCCACCCAGGTGCCCCTACATATATATTTATATATTAAAGAAGAGAAACTTTATATTTTGATTTGTAAAAAGGAAGTCAATTTGCAAATCATTCTTTGTTTACTATGAAATGCAGTTTTGAATTTTTGTCTAAAAATATCTACTTTTCCAAAATGCAGGCATTTTGACTAAATTGTGAAGCCACGAGGGTGACCTAACTAAGGAGGAACTAGCACGTTTCATTCCCTCTCTGTCCTTGTCCCGTGTTGGGCATTGAGTGCACTGCTGTTCAGACCACAAGACCCCACAAGCTAGCTCCTTTCACCCCTTCTCTTTCTGATTTTCATCTCTGCCTTCCTCTTTTTTTAAAAAATAGAAACATTTCTGCTTTTATCTCCTCTCACTACCTCTTTAAATCTCCTTTATTTAAATAAACCTGAGAATTGCAAGAACTCTTGGCACACCCAAGTTTGTGGGCTGAGCTGCATGCCTGTTACAATACTCGTCATTTCTCATAGGTGATGCGCCAAAGATATGGTGACTGTGGGGCACTTGGTTGCTTATTACACACTTTCAGGACAATGGATTTATGTTACAATTGCTCCTACTCAGCTAGGGGCCCAGTTTTTCCTGAAGCTCAGGGAGATAGACCTTCTCTTTGAACAGTCATTTATGTAATGCCTACATATTGGGAGGTGGGGGATGGGGGTAGGAAAGACTTAGTAATTGTGCTCTACTCTTGAATATTGTAACTGGACTACTTGGCAAGTCACCATTTTAATGTATCAAATAGATATTTTTTCATATATACTTAATATATATTTTAAAATATCAAAGATATATATCAGGATCTAGCAAGGAAATCTGAAACCGCTTTAAGTATTTACAAGAAAAGAAATTCAACATAGGAACTGTTAACACAGGTGATGAGGAAGCTGGGAAAAATAGGCTTATCAACAGAGAGAGAGGTGAGGGAGGCAGAGTTACATATAGGCAAGGACACAGGAACCAGGATCACCTAGCTTTGGCTGGAAATTTGGCAGACCTGTCTGCAGGAGCTAAAGCCCTAGAGGAGACCATTCAGTCATCTGAGAGGCCATCCAAGGTGGAGGAAGTGGCGGCCTCATGTTTCTCCCCACCCCCTATCTCCTCCACAATCTCATGCTGATGTTGGCCCATCGCAGAGGGCAGCCAGCGACACTGGAAGCTCAGGAAAAACAAGCTGTGGAGATCAGCTCCCCTTTGCCAGCAGTGCAGGTCAGAGCGGTGTGGCGGAGCAGGGACGCGAAGGAAAGGGAGAGGAGAATGGATCACGGAGTGAATAGGCTCAGAACTTCCACACGAAGGTCACCATCTGACTGTAACTGAATCCTCTTGACCCCCATTACTGGCAGAATCTTCATGGCAGTTGATGAATCCAAGTGGGCAGGGACTACAGAATCTGAAGGTTATCCAGAGCCTGCCTGTTGACTGAGCTTCTCTTTGGGACTTACTATTTCTCTTTCTCCTTCCTCCCACTCTCACCACTTCTTTCTTGCTTAAACTTTCCCTGTGGTTACTAGTCAGAATTATGTAGGCTTTCTGGGGAAAACCTCAACTCTTCTTCAGCTGGCTTACAGCCTTGGTTTAGGTTAGAATAATTAAGTCAAGGATGATGTCTGCAGAAGAGCGGCTCAAACCTCAGAGGTAGGATGGGGCCTTCTCCACACACCCGCCCAGAAAGTGATCTCTGAGAGCTAAGGTGGCTTCTCAGCCCTACGTATCCTCACTTGTTGCCAGATATTTGAATTACTTGGTTAATGTTGCAATCCTAATAGAATATAGATTTCTCGTGGATAAAGACTGTGCCCTACAGGAGTCTATATCCCTTAGCATAGTGCTACTCAAATATTAAGTACTGCAATGTTTTTAACTGAAAGGTAAAGACCCCTAAATGGACAAAGATAAGCTCTAGTGTCTCCGGTTTTGGTTAAATTATATAAAGTCTTGGAGCCTCATGTTAATGCTTTTTAAGGTAGAATTTTAAATAAAGGACATGCTTTTATGACCTGTCCAATTACATCACAAGCAATTCGAGGGCAAGGACATTAGCGTACATTTTAATGTCAAGCATCCAGCCCACTGTCTTGGCACAAACAAGATCCTCAGTACATGTTTAATAAAGAAAAATCTGATTGAAAAATTGAAAAGAAGATTGGCCAAGCTGCAATATGAATATGCTTTTAAAATATTTAACTTCCTTTAAAATTTTCTATTTCTTTTTATTATTTAGTAGTAAGAAAAATTTGGAATCTACTTATCAGGGGTTGCAAACTCAAATGCTTACCAGGGATCAAGCAAGTAATGAGAAATGAATCTGGTTGTGACAAAAGAGACTAGTGGGGACCGTTGGGACCTGGAGATGATTGGAGAGCACTCTAAAAGTCCTCTCTCCAGGGAGAAGCAGATGTCCTGTCCTAGCCAACTGTCCTACGAGAGAGTAGCCGCAGTGTTGTCCAAACTTCTGGATATGTATGTGGAATTCCTATATGTTTAAGGCCAGATCAGCCAGTTAGGGGATTCTTCTAAAAACAATATCCATTTTAGACTTCCAGGTGTTAATAATACTTATAGTTCCTCCTAATGTATTTATTGAAGATGTTTTGGGAATTATGATTTTGGAGCTCTAATTTTCCCTGTCTCCCTTTCCAATTTTTTTTTTAAAGATTTATTTATTTATTTTAGAGAGAGAGAGAAAGAGAGAGCTTGAGCGGGAGGGGCAGAGAGAGAGGGAGAGAGATCTCAAGCGGACTCCATGCTGAGCCTAACATAGGGCTGGATCTCACAACCACGAAGTCACAACATGAGCAGAAACCAAAGGCTGGTCGCTTAACTGACTGCACCACCCAGGTGCCCCTCCCTTTCCTACTTTAACTGGAATACTGTATCAGTTTTACTCAGTTTAGTGGCAGGGGTAACTATAAGTCAGAAAAGAGTGCTATCAGCTATTGCTGAACTTTGACCTTCAATTGACGAAAGTGCTGAACAGTTAGTTGCCTTTTCGGATTATTTTCTACAGCAAACATTTTTTTAAAAACACACGAAAGATAACAGATTTTCAGTCGACCGATAGATTATCAACAAATGTGCTTATTGCATAGAGACTACAAAGTTTATGCATACTCTTTTTTTTTTTTATGCATACTCTTATGTTTCGATGTGGTCAGCTCAGATAAGTGCAACACACTGTTGACAAAAGTAGGCTTCTGAGTTCTTGTGGCCAAACAGCCAGGGAGGTTCATAGACACAAATCCTCTGCGCACCGGCAGAGACTAATGGCTCAAGCAGAGACACCTGAGTTTCATAAGACCTACTCCAATTTGCAGTTGATTTGAGGGGACCTAATAAAGGTAGTCAATGAGTCATTTTCCAGCATGATATAACTAGAATTGGTTCTTGGCCCAGAAAGATGTGAGTCAGTTTAGTCCTGACTCAGTTCCCAGTCTGATGCACGGTGACTCACTTCCCCATGTGATGTCATGTTTGTTCCTTGTGAGATGTGACCTCTTCGTTGTTTTGTTGTATTAGGGTTGTTTTCTTTTTTGAAGAAGAAGAAGAAAATGAGAATATTGTAGCATAAGATGAAATACTCCAAGGAATACAGAATCAGACTAATAAAAAAAAGCCTTGATTTTCTCACAGTGAGCCTGAAGAAGTAATTAAGCTTTAAATGCCTATATTGTTGTTCCCATGTATTAGGATTGTTAATTTCCAAACAGCCTAGCTATTAGCCAACATTTGATTGAAAACATTTTGCATGTAAAAGAGGAAAAATTGGTATAACAACAATTCAGTCATTTGGTAGATATATTTATAAAAGGCAGCTGCATCTGAAAAAAAGTCAACAATAGATGGTGAGATTAAAGAGGACACATGCATGGATCTTTCTAGAAAGATACATTAATTTGTATACAGAAAGTAAATCCCAAATGGAACATTTGTTATGAAATCCACGAGCATTTCAGAATATGTAGAATTTTTTAAAAAATACGATAAAAATGGCTTTTTATGCTTTTGTCAATTGTGAATGAAATTCAATACATGGCCTGTGTAGGG